GGGCCGTGGCGGCGCCCGCGGGGCGTCGAGCCGGGCGCTGCAGAGGGAGGTGATGCAGCTCCTTCGTGTGCACTTAGCTTGTAGGGTGGGCCTGGGCTAGGTCGGTGCCTGGTCTTCCCTTTGCCTTCCTCTTGTTCCACCACTGAGAAATTAAAGTTGATAGAGGAAATAACAGATGTCTAGAAGTCACTTGTAAGCCACGGATTAGCAAAAATTCCTTTCGATCGTCTTCCCCTTTCTCCTCTTGGGATCTACTTTTGTAGCGTTTTCCCTAGAACTAAGGAACTTGTGGCTGTATTTTTGCCAATACAATAAATTGTCCTAGGTGCTCAAGCAGCACGGTAAACTGGAGCAGCTCCTGCCCCCATCGCTGCCTCCTCGGTGCTGTACTGGAGCCTGCATCTGGGGGAGCAGACCTGCGGTCCCTCCGTCCTCTGCTTGTGCAGTGTCACTGCTGTAGCTCGGAGAAGACGACCTGATCCTGCAGCTCAAATTCTCCACTATCTGGAGAAGTGATGGTGCAGACTTAGTCTGTCCTTATGTGTTATACAAGTTGTTCTGATAATCACAACCACTTCCCTTTTGTCCCACATGGGCTTAGACTTAAACCTAGGTAAGAAAATCTGAGTTAGCAATTGCACTAGGGGCTGCAGTGAGTGGAAGTGGCTCAGAAGCTAGTGATGGTGCTCGCCAGGAGGGTCTGTGGTAGAGCCAGCAAGGGATGCCCCAAAAGGGAGTGCTGGAAAACATGGAGCTATGAAGATGCAGCTTCAGCAAAGTGATTCTCAGAGGATCATGAGAGTCTAAGGCCAGAAAAGTGGGGGGTTCCTGCCTAAGCCAATGCTGGGGAAGGGTTGAAGTCTTCTCAAAAGAAACAGCAGGAAGGTGGCAGGGAAGGGAGGTGTGCAGAAGATGATGGGCTATTCCTTGCTGCAGCGCTGTAAGGGGGTCCTGTTGTGTGGCACAGGCTGCAGGTTTGTGAAGCCTAACGAGGGGTTAGCGCCCTGCGGATGAGCTGAGGTCTTGGCTTACGTGTGAAGGTCAGTGCCCCTGTTGTGCTGGGGTGGAGGTGGGGGCCTGCACGTGGCAACTCAGGAACTTCAGGGCCCACCTCAACAGTTCCCCTCTGCACAACCCGTGCTGTGGTTGTGTCTGGTCAAACCGCCAAGCACAACAGGTAATCGGGGGGAGTCTCTTAGGGTGCTGCACGAGCAACAGCGTGAAGGGACAGAGCTGTGTGCATGCTGCCTGCGATACAGGCTCTGTGGGTGGCTGTAACTGCTGATGTGCTCATGCCTTACCCGGGTGCTGTTAAAAACAGGATTTGAGTTGCTGAAATTCTCATCTAGGAGTCCATTGGCTCACATGCTTCTTTCTTGCCTCTTTTCCAGCCTGTTCTGCAGAAATATATAGGATGTTTTGTGAACAATGTATGCCTGAAACTACACGGACATTACCCTCAGATCATAGGATCTTCTTGAAATAGTGCCAGCTGTGCCAGAGACTTGATATAGACCAGAACAGCCTTAACAGCTCTATGCTGACCTCGCTAAGCTCAGGCTGTTTTTTGTCCTCTTATGTAAAAGCTGCTTGGGTGTTGATCTGTCCTCCTGGGCATGGGAAGGAGCCTTGTGTCTTTTTTCCACTGACACAAGACTTCCCTTCAACCTTCCACCTCTTGATACATTCACAAGGGCAGAAATGAGTCTTTCGCAAAATTCTCAACCTTCCTGCAGAGGGCAGCCTTAACTAGCATGTTCTCTTGTCCCGGTTTGCTCCTTTCCCTATTTTTTCTACATCTCTTACAGTCGCTGAATGCTTTGTGCAGATTTTCTTGACATGTTTGGGATGGCCTGAATAGGTGAGTGGTTACAAATACTGCAGTGAGCAAGTGTGGCTGAGGTTAAACTGCTAACTGATCTGAGGGCCCTACAAAATAATTGTTCTGGAAGCTCCAGCTCTGTCTGTTGCCTGAATGAGGCAACCATGGCCTTGATCTCCAGGAGGCTTTAGAAGCCTTTGGGCGAGAGGAGACACCTGGATTTAGTTTCAGAAGATGCAAGGGTGGGTGGTAAAACTAGTTGTGAGCATTCCTGTCCCTGCAGCAGGCTCTTGTGCTGGCACAGTGGCTTATGGCCCTATGCTGTAACCTAGATCATTAACATTAATAACTTGGGCTAAAAATAATAATCTTAATGATGTAGGTTACAGCACGGCCCTTGCAGGTAGTTTTAATGACCAAACACAGAGGGGTGAAGGGGGCAAAGCAACCAGCCTTGTCGCAGCCTCAGGGATGTGGAGGCAAATTGCTGAACCTGCAGCATGGGGTTGTGCTGAGGAGAGCCCTCTGCACGGACAGGAGCTGAATGTTAGTCTTGTTTGCGCCACAGCTTTTGCCCAAGGGCAGAGTGAAGAGCGTTTCTGTCAGAGCTGGTTGCGGTTGGCTTTACTCAACACAACAGTGTCAGGAGAGGGTTTAACCCACCTCATTCATGCCTCACCTTGTCTCAAATACCACTTCTTTGGAGTATTTGCATTAAGGGATCCTCACCTTTGCCTGAAAGAAGGCCATGGATTAGATGGCTCTAGGCCTAGGATGCTTCAGTGACAGGCGCACAGTGGGGAGAAGGCAAGCTGTGATGGAAAATCGCAGCACCGCTCTCCTGTGCCCGCAGGAGAGGCAGGCGAGGGAGGGCTTGGGCAGAAGGGTGGTTTCAACGATCTCAAACTAAAATGCAGCCCGACCGGGCTTGTTGGAGCCTAAGTAGAGACTGGTGAGCAATGGCTCCTCAGGGCATGCAAAGCACTAGGTGTTGGCTTGTGTTGGCCAGGACTGTGTGTCCTTGCAGAGGCACAGCCTGGCTCCCGGCACACAGAGCTGGGAGGAAGCTCTGGAGTTGTCTGGAGTGGCCTCCCTATCCTTGTGGTGTGAGGGACGGGACGCACTGTCTCAGAAGCCCAACGCTGCTATGAGAGCTGCTCAAACTATTCTTGAGATGCTTTATCCCAATCTTGCTGGCAAGATCCCACCACATAGCGTTCCTTGAAAAGCCTGGATCCAAACCTTGCCTGGTACATGTTGTTTTGAACTTTGTCTCAAAGCCCATGTGGAGACATTTGTTGTTTCAGGACAGGTAGTCCTGAAAAGCAGAGAACCATTTGCCATCTTTCTGATCTTTCTTCTGTCAAGACACTGAGCCAAAACAGAAGGAAAAAGGGGTGATCTAAATCTGTGACTCTTCAGGCTTTGCTACCATTTTAAGCTAGTATAAATGAGTGGCAGTGCAGCAAAAGGAAACGTGTGAAGTGCTTCAAGTGACGATGGTCTGGTCTGTAAGAAGAGAGATGCTCGAATCCATTCTCAAGCCAATTGTGTGGTGAGCAAGCCTCTCTCACCAAGATCAGGGAGCCTGATGTAGGTCCTTTTCATTCTAAAAAATAAAACTTGTAGAGAAAGACATCAAAAAATCCACTGGGTAAAAGTACAGTTACCTTTGAGCTAGGGAATCACTCGTTTCTGCAGAAGGGATATTTAAGGAGCTAATTTCTCTGCTTACCTACAGCTGCTAGGAGAATGCACAGGCTGCAGAAGACTCTCTTTCTGCAGTGCTGGACACTGTGGTGTCTCAATACCTATGCATGCCCTTGATAGGAGGCTTGCCTGGCAAGTTTCAGTATTGCTCAACATTCTGGTCATCAGGAAGAACGAGACAGAAAATGGAGAACTAACGATGACGGAGCGCCT